ATTTGGGGATGCATGTTTAGTAAATTGTATGTGAACATATATTTTATCATCTCATAGATAAAAAATGGCCTCTGTAGATAACAGGCAGACAGATACCAAGGCCTCTGTAGCTCACGTATCTAGCAGTAACTTGTCCAACAGATTCAGCTCTCTCGAACATAGGCAAAACTAAAAAGTAAGTAAATAGAGCTTCTTAGGAGTCAGAACTAGAGCCACAAGCTCCACAGACATATGAATTTTGTTCTCATTCTCACTTTAGATTTATCCTAATAAGCTTGATGATGTTTCCCTAGCCATAGCTGGTTAGAAACAGTAAATTAAAAGGTATGAATATGAGTTGTTGAAGGCAGATATACATATCAACAAGAGCAGAAGGAAGGAGGTGACACAAGAAAAACAAAAAAGCAGATATAGGAACTTAGAAAACTCTACAGTCTTGTTTAGTACCAGCTAAACAAGGGGCTACTGTTCTCAATAAAACGAGGGGCTACTGTTCTCAATAAAAAACAAAACAAAACCAAAACCAAAATAAACAATGATCAAAGTATTCTCCATGATGATGATCCTGAGACATTAGAAAAAGCTCAATTATGCTCTACTATGTTACTTCAAGAAGGCAGTGAGGTTGAAGGTTGATATTGTGTGTATTTTCATTAAATGGACAAATGGTAAAAGTTAAAAACAATGATCACTTTAACAAGGTAATCATCGATGAAACTGTATATTCACAAATGGAACACTGACCAATGATGCCGACTGAAATAGACAGGTGTACCAGTGCACCTGTACAGTGTCTGTCTAGGTTAGTAGGCATTTAACAAATGTTAGTTCCTTTCCCTTCCTCTGGGGTCTTTGCAGTCTCATGCCATATTACATTCCAAAACAACATTTTCTCTTTGGACATGACTGTAGTACAATGCAACCAACCTCTTTGGTTCCCTCTGTTACAGATCTTCTGCCTTTTACTACATACCATCTTCTCTTATTGGATTATTACAATAGCCTTTGAATTATTTCCTTGCCTTTAAACTTATCTCATATTTAATCCATTTTCTATATTGCCCTCCCCCCCCCCCCCCCCGCTTCAATTTCTAAAGTACAAATCTGGTCTTGTTACATTCTTAACAAAACCTTTACAAGGCTCTCCAAGGCCCTCAGCCCCCAGTCACCTCTCCATTCTCATTTTTACCACACTTGTCTCACTCCTTACTCCAGCTATTATAAACTTTGGTAGAATGCTCCAAAATAGACATGCTTCTTCCCTTTTTTTAAAAAAATAATTTTTCTTTATTGATTTTAGAGAGAGAGGGAGGGAGAGAAAGATAGAAACATCGATGAGAGAGAACATCGATTGGCTGCCTCTTGCAAGCTCCCCGCTGGGGATTGGACCCACAACCTGGGCATGTGCCCTGACCGGGAATCAAACCGCGACCTCTTGGTGCACGGGTCGACGCTCAACCACTGAGCCACACCGGTCGGGCTAATCCTATATATGTTTTTCCTGATTTCCACTGAAATAGAACCCTCCTTTATACAAATAGTGTGTGTGTGTGTTTTTTAATCCTCACCTGAGGACATTTTTGCATTCATCCTCAGATAGAGCAGGAGGGAGGAAGGGAGGAAGAGCGCGAGAAACACGAGGTGAGAGAGACACACTGAGTGGTTGCCACCCACACAATCCCAAATGGGGCAGGGACAAACTGCAACAGAGGTGCATGCCCTTAGGGGGAACCAAACTGGGACTCTCTGGTCCACGGGCCGGGCCGACGTGCTAACCGCTGAGCCAAACCAGCCAGGGATAGTGTGGATTTTTTAAAGCACATTTGCTTAAACATACATTTTATCTTCATCCCTTATCAAGGCTATTGCCATATGTGGATGAAAAAAGAAAGTAATAAAAAGGAAACATAGAAGTCTATTAATGGCAATTTTCACAAATTATATTAAAGTAAAAATCAAATGTTAACAAAAGAAACACAGGAACAATAATATTAAATGTAATTTTTTCAGATGTATTATGCAAATAACATTTGAAATAGTTCCTTTATACTTTTTCAAGGTAGTGTTTTATCCTTAAAAAACATGCCCAGGCATCTCTTTCCAAAAATATATATATATATATATATATATATATATATATTTTTTTTTTTCCTTTCCCCTTTTGATCTACTACGGTCAGTAGCACAATATTTGATATTTTGGTTTCTGTTTGGACCCAGCAAAACTTCAGTGGAATCTGTAGCACAACAAATCTAAAACATTTGAAGAATAATGTTATATTTATTATTTGTGACAGTTAATACAAAGCGTAAGAATAATTTTAGAAAGCAGTCTTAGTGGGGAAAAAATCTGAAGTTAAACATTCAGTGTTCTAGTTGACAGATACATACTAGATTTAGACCTGTATAATTTAAAAATGGTTAAAGTATTAAGCCATTGATAATACGGTAAGGATAATGAATATATCACCATTCCAATGTTTTGATAAGATGTTAATGCTCAAAAAACCATGTCTATGAATCCTAGGTGCTTACATAGCTATATAGCTAGTATATTTTAAGTGAAAATAATTCTTTCACTTCAGAAGTACATAGTGTTTTTAGTTGGCACAGAAGATCAATCTCTAATGAAAATGGCAAAAATTAAAATGGAATAATTAGAGTTCTTTTTGGAGAGGTAGGAGGAAGGGAGGAGAAGCAATAAATTATATCCACAAAGATTGTTTTGTTTTTCCAACACAACATGGTGTTCCTTTTATGAAAATAAAATGGCAGCAGTAAGCAAAAAGTGAATTTACACTACAGAATGCCTTTTAAATAGCCTAGGTATAAGAACCATAGAAATAGAAAGTGATCTTTAATTAAAGGGGTGTTAGCACTGCTGCAACATCTTTCAGAGTGAAAACTGTAAATCAAATCTCTTGGGAATTGCACCCAGAATATCTCAAATCACAAGTGTAAAGGGGAATTTATTATAAATGATCAGTTTACCTTCCTTTTGTTTACATAAGTGCTTTGTAGCCGGGTTCGATCCCCATTATTTTGCTATTCATATGAACTACTGATGCAAAAACCAGGAAGCCAGTCTAAGGTTTTAGGAAAGGATGGAGCTTTAAAAAAAATACTGCAACACATGTGTAAAACAGATGTTCCTTTTAAGTTATTTTTTATACTATGTTTGTACTTTGTGCCTTCAACAGAACTGGCCTCACAAAATGTGGAATGTTTATTTCTAAAACTAAATTACAAGTATCTATCTATAGTGTTCAATTAACTTTCAGACAGAAGTTAAAAACAAACCTGATGTTATAATTTAACTCAGCTTATATATAGCAGTGTGGCTTTAAGGATGCTTACTAACACATGAATTCATGTTTTATAAGACCCCTGAATAGGAACTGAAAACTTTGAGAGACATATTGTATATTTATTTTGTACTTTTTCCAAGGTGAAACTTCTCATTCAATTTAATCTATATGTACCACCCATAATAAAGAGTGAAAAAGCCAATAAATTATGTAAAGGTATATATTATAAAACTTAAACAGCATTTAGAAATATTTCCATTATCAAATATAAATCTCAATCTATAAAATTAATATTATAAATATTAATAATACATTAAATCAAACCTCACCAGTTGTAGTGGCTAGGACATTAAGTTTGCTTAAGTGATCTTTTTGAGCTTTTGCTAGCATGCATATTCTATGAAATTCTTCTTTCAGATCCCAGAAAGTCTTCTCTATATAACTCCTAAAAACAAATAAATATTAAAAAATGTAAGGCTATTTCTTCAAATATTCTTTAATCATAATTAAACGTACACAGCACCTTTTTTTTTTTTTTTGGTACATGCCCCTAGTGGGAACGAACCCAGGACTCTCTGGTCCGCAGGCCAACGCTCTAACCGCTGAGCCAAACTGGCCAGGGACACAGCACCTTTTTATGTACTACAAAATAATTACAGAAAAATTAAAGTTTAAAAAGTTTTCAACTCCTAGAAATTGTACCAAAAAACAATTCTAACATTTGGAGAGCCAGGCACAAAGTACATGAAAAATGAAAAGTTCTAATACATAACTGTAGGGCAGACTAGCATATCTACTTATTCACATAACACACTTACACTGGCTGTCTCATTCTCACATCAGAAATTTCAGTGTATTGACTTTTGTTCTCTGTAAGCATCTAAAGTAGAAGAAAATTAAATATTCCTCAATTTGGTAAAGTTCACACTAAGAGCCATTCATATAAAACTGTGTGGCTACAATACTTGGTCTAGAAATTCTTAATATAAAATATTAGTGCTTTAGATAATTCAGTTTTTAGATTCATCTCTGCTATTAACTGTATAACTTATTTAGGTCATTTTCACATTGAGAAGCTTGGGGTGATCTCTTCTAGTTCTAAGAGGCTGTATTTTCTTACAACTGCTAAAATGTAAAAATATGTAAATAAGAATATACTTCAATATTTATAATTTTTAGAGTTGGCAAAAAAAGATATAGAACTACCTTTCATGGAATAAAGGAATGCCAAGACTCGTTGGTGAAGTTTCTTTTCTAGGAGAAGAAACCTCTTGTCTTCTTTCCTTAAAGATACAAAAAAATTAGCACTTTAAATTGCTTCTAAACTCAAATTAGGATAGGTTAACAAAAAACACAATGGAAATTTATATTCCTCACTGAAAAAAATAAGTTTAGGTAGCATGAATATATATGTAATTTTCTTTAAATGAGAATCAGGGAAAAAGGAAAATGAAGGTAGAAAAATAGATGAAGACATAAAGTATTTATAGGGTAACTTCTTTAATTACTATTTCCAATACTGACAATTCAAGGAATTTCCACAGATCCACCTATTGATTAAAATAGCTACTCTGATCACTAGTAGCACATGCAATGACCACAAGATTTAGGGAAAAAAAACCTGCATGTGTATATACTTCCTTTCCATTATTGGCCTATACATTTAAATCAATGTTTTTGTATTTTGTTATAGATTCTTTGCTGAGGAATGCAGCTCTGTTAGAGGAAGAAACCAAGCAACAGCTCCTTAGCATTTAACAAGCATTTTAAAGACAGTACAATTATTTATTTAAGCGACTTAAACACAAGTTCTTGCCTTTCACTCCCACCCTGTGGCTTACACTGGTATTACATTTATTCTAACATTTAAAAGTCAACTTTGAAAAACGTAATATAATCTATTATAGGGTGTAGAATGAAAAAAATTGCAATTATATCTAAAAACTTTATGTACCTTATAGAGCTATAAACTGACAAATTAAAAGATATGAAGAAATCCTAATATTATACAGTCATAAATCATAATTAAGTCAAAATGGTTGAGGTCTTAAATAAGTTCAAATTCAAACTAGTGGACATTTATATTTAGTGACTTTTAAGATTTTATTCAATTTAGGTCATCGTAGCTTTTATGTGATTTTACCTCATTGTTTCTTATCATCGGAGTATATCTACCTTTAACCTTTTTTTAAGACTTTTTTTAGAGAGAGAGTGGAAGGAAGACGGATAGAGAGAAACATCAATGTGAGAGTGAACATCAATTGGCTGCCTCCTGCACGCCCCCTACCAGGGATTGAACCTGCAACCCAGGCATGTGCCCAATCAAACCGGCAACCTTTTGGTACACTGGAAGATGTCCAACCAACGGAGCCACACCAGCCAGGGTTCTCTCTTTAATCCTGCTTTTTGAAAAGTTCCTTCTCTTAGGAGTGTTATTTGTTCTTTAAAAGACTTGAGTACTGATTGTTTTTCTTTTTTTTTTTAACCCTCACCCGAGGACATTTTTCCATTTTTTGTTCAGATAGAGTGGGAAGGAGGGAGAGAAACATCTATGTGAAAGGGATACATCAAGTGGCTGCTTCCTGCACGACCCAACCAGGGCCGGGGACAAACTTTTTGCAACCGAGGTGCGTGCCCTTAGCGGGAACCAAACCCAGTCTCTCTGGACCACGGGCCAACGCTCTAACCGCTGAGCAAAACCGGCCAGGACCTGATTGTTTTTCTTAAAATCAATTATCTTCTCTAGTTTATTTCAGTGTATTGCTCTATATTTCTAGCTTTTTACAATATACCTTTTTCAGCTTTTTAAATATACATTCCTAAATACCAGTGTCTAACATTTCTAAATTAGAGTTAACACTTCAATAATTAGTAAAATAAAATCTTAGCAACAATTTGTGATTTTATATGTTATGTAGGTAGTCAGATTGAGATAAAATAAAGATCATTTACTGCTGCATACTTTTTGTCTGACAAACATTTAGGTCACGTTTTCTTCTGGATTAAAACTGTTTTATTAAGCTTATAAAGCAGTCACATCAGAAGACATTTTCACACTCACAGTTTGTTTTTAAAAGTGGCAGACAAAGTTTTTCCTTAGTGTTATGTGCAATTAGAGCACTCAGTGGCTTTTAGTGTGGACTAGGAAAAAAGGCGACATTTTAAAGCTGGCCAACCATTCATGATGCTACACGTAAGAATATCAACTTTGAAAAGATTATATTATATTGAATCTATATCAACAAAATCAGAATATTAAGAGAATAGAAACATTTGACAATATGTTAAACAAAGCATAATGAAATAAATAATTAAATTAAATGGAATGATTAATCTCCTTCTAAGATTTACTACTAGAAAATCTCAATATGAAACACAATTATTTTATTAGGAGCTAGAAAGAACCAAAAAGAAGTACTGTATAATTTTAGCCAAAAATGAAGACAGTTACAGAAAGTGATAAAGACTATCCTAGTTGTCAAAGCACAGATGATTTTGACATAAACTAGGAATGACTGCTTCTGATGTTAAGAAACCTTTAAAAGCTAAGGTGGTAAAGGGGGGGGAGGAAATAGAGGAAAAGGCAGGAAAGAATGATAAATCTTTGGCTTCTCAAATAACTAACTAATGTCAACTTACTCCTGTGGTGCATAGATTTGCTTACTGATGTGGGTGCATTTATCTGAGAAGACTCCTTGGTGTACTGGCAGAGGGTAAAGGAAGGACTCACTGAAGAATTTCCATGAAGTATTTAAGGTCTTCCGTTTCTTAGGGATTAGAAATACAGCTCTGCCTCCTATTATTTTTGTTATTGTTATTGAAGAAAAGTATTACTGATTGTTTTAAGCAATACACTGCCCCTTTTATGATTCACTCCAAATAAATCTGTTGATATGTTTCAAATAATAATGTTAGGTTCCCAGAATCCCCCCCCCAAATTTTTTTTAAAGGAACCGTTTAACAAGTAGGGTTTGTCTAGAATAGATATAGCATGTTAATGTTATTTTCCATTGACACAACTTTCTGAAAACGATCACTTATTTTTTCAAAGGATTTTAGGATTAGTCAATGGCAACTTCAATACTTTCCTAGAAACTCAGACTTTCTTTTCAATACTAAATTATGTTAATAAAGATTTCTCAGTTTGTTGAGCATCACAGAGAGTTAAGTAAACCTTAGAAGAAATAATCTGTATTTTCCTTTCTACTCTCAAATATTATCCAGATGGGCCCTGCACTGCAGGAAGTTGAAGTTATTGCAATTTCAAATAAGAAAGGGAACTTTGAACATTATGTTTTAGGAGATTTTAAACATTAAATCATTCAACAAATGAATTTATCTTGAGGTACTAAAACTTAAAATACTTAACATTATAAACTGTTCCAAGTACTACTTTGGAAATGCTGAACTTGTGGAATGAATACTGAAATATGAGTTTTACACGTCGTACTTTTCACTTATGCTTCCAGTATGGCACTGGATAAATCATTCAACTAAATCATTAAGATAAACCCATTTGAAACAGTTGGAAGATATTGTGAAATGATTCCTTAAATTTTCTTTTATGTGAATTGGGAGAATTTTGTTTTAGTCTATGTAAATCAATTTAAGCTTAGTATATGTACATCAATTTACCCGTCTCATAGATGGATATTATATTAAAAAATGTATGTTCAAGGGCTATTTGAATAAACAATAATATTTAAGAAGGAAAAGAAAAACCCAACATGGCCAATATTTCATTAGGCCAAAGCCATGTTTATTCTTAAAGCATAGGTAATAAAAAATATTTTTGTGTTGAAGTCCAGGTTGTTACATATCAACATCTCCCCTGACTGGGTAGCTCAGTTGTTTAGAGTATCATCCTGATATGCCAAGGTTTCATGTTTGAGCACCAGTCAGGATACATAAAAGAATCAACCAATGAATACATAACTAAGCGGAGAAATAAATCGATGTTTCTCTCTCTCTCTCTCCCTTCCTCTCTCTCTAAAAAATATAAATTAAAAAAAATATTTTTTTAAAGATAACATCTCAAAAAAAAGAAATGTATATTTTCCCTAATGCCTGCTTTTTAAAATATTCGGTAGTAAAAGTTAGAGTATTTTATTCCTTTTATAAACCAATTTGAAAAACATAGAAATGATTCACAATAGGCAAGATATGGATTAAACTTAAGTGTCTATTGGGGGATGAATGAATAAAGAAAATGTGGAGATATATACATAACAAGAGTGAATATATCAACTTTAAAAAAGGAAGAAATCCTGTCATTTGAGACAACCTGGAAGAACCTGAAGGCTATTATGCTATGAGAAATAAGCCAGGCACAGAAAGACAAATACTGCATGATCTCAATTGAATGTGGAATTTTAAAGTCATGTTCATAGAAGTAGACAATAGAATGGTGGTTGCCAGGGTTTGTGGGGTGGGGAAGCAGGGACATGTCAGTCAAAGAAGACAAATTTTCGGTTATATGGGATAAATAACTTCTGAAGATCTAACGTGCAGCACAGCGACTAGTTAATACTACAATTGTATACTTGAATTTGCTGAGAGTGTAAGTCTTAAATGTTTTCGCCACAATAAGAAAGATAACAATGTGAAGTGACAGATATATTAGATTGTGATAATCATTTCATAATGTATATATATCAAAACATCATGTACACTGTACACATATACAATTTTTATTTGTTAATTATATCTCCATAAAGCTGGAGGAAAAAAGAAATGCAATGAAAAATTTAAATTCAGAATCATGTTTTTTCTAAGCAACTAAAGTAATAAAATTGAGTTATGAAACTTGTGAAGATAATCCTAAACTCATTAATATGATGAATATTCTCTCATATGAAAGGAATCTAAACTTTATAGGCCAATACTGAATATAGGTGGTAAGTTTCCTTTTCTTTTTTAAAATCCTCACCCAAGAATACCCTTCCATTGATTTTCAGACAGAGTGAGAGGGAGGGAAGGAAAGAGAGAAACACTGATGTGAAAGAGACACACCGACTGGCTGCTTCCCATACAACCCCAACCAGGGCCAGCACCGAACCACAACCGAGGTACGTGCCCTTGGCTGGAATCAAACCTGTGACCCTTTGGTCCGTGGGCCAGTGCTCTAACTGCTCTGCCAAACCGGCCAGGGAAGGTGGTAAGTTTTCAATGATACATATTTGAGTTACAGTGATGACTATCACTTTTATTTCAGTGTTCATGTCAAAGATTGCCTCTAACCTTTAGCTGAGATCCTTGCATGCAAAAGGATTGTATTCCTGAGAGTAGTCAGTATTTGATTTTGTTTTTATATGAAGCTTAACAGAATTATGCTTTTAAAACAAAAAAGAATTATGCTCTTACTTGGAACAAATAAACTAAGAAATAAGGTGAGGTGAGATGGGATGAACTAATAAAGGGAATATAAACTGTGGACTAGTTATAAATATGAGCTTGATAAAATTTACTATAGAGAAAGGAAAAATGAATAGTGGAAAAAGAAACCGAAAATAAGGATTCCCTTAAATTTTTGAAACTAAGAATGAGATATTAAAGGAGAAACTGAGGTAGAATACAGGGAGGGGCAAAAGTTGGTTTACTGTTGTTGGTATGGAAAATGATACAATAATTAATAAATAATGATATAAGAATAAACTGTTTTTTGTGTACTCACCACTGTAAACTACTTTTGCCCCACCCTGTACGTACCTACCAGTTTTAGATAAACTGAGACAAGGTTAAAGTCAAGCACTGAATTAGGTTGAATTAGTGAGAAAGTGAAAAAGGACGAGACAGGGAAAGGATTAAAGTAGAAAATAGGAACAGGAAAAAATAGAGAGAGATTTTATAAGAACAAATACAGCCCTGGCCAGTTTGGCTCAGCGGTTAGAGCATCTGC